CAGACAGACACTGATTGAGACTGGAGTCCGGGCTGAGGCTAGAGCGGGAGGGCAGCGCTGGGGGACCGGAGGGGGCGGGGAGAGGAGGCCGGTCCCCGGCCGTTCGGGTTTTCAGATCCCCTCGGCCGCCGGTCTTGGTCATTAATCCAGGATCGACAAGAATCCCTAATTAATTTAATTAGGCGTGGATTTTGCGTCGGTGTCATGACTTAGTTAAACACCGGGGAGCTGGATGGACTCCGCGGGGTGGGGCCAGGAGGAAACTGACAAGTGCGTGGCTGTCGGAGGCAGCCGGGCATCCGAACCGGGCGTCGGTCCTCACAGCCGGGCCCGGTGCACAGCTCGGCCCCGGTCGCTGCTCCGGTCCTTGCCCTGCGGCAGCCACCCATCGGTGACCAGGCCCCGCATCCTGACCCCGCGTCCCTTACCCGCTCCAGACCCGCCATAGCTCCACGGCCCGCACCATCCCGGCTTCACATCTCTGCCCAGAGTCAGGCTTCTTCGCAGCTTCTTTTAGGAGCTTCCCGGCTCGCGGCCAGGCTGAGTCCGGGTCTCTACCGAGCTCCTCGCCTTGGTCTGTGTAACTCCCTCTGCTACTCGGGTCCTGGAGTCCAAGCAGACTCCTCTAAGGACAGATCCCCCTAGAAGGGACCGGTCGATTTAACACGTTTCCCTAGCAGCTGTTTCCTGACATATCTTATTTTAAAGTGTTTCCTGAGAGCCCGGTCAAGGACAGCTCGATTTAGTTTGCTCTCTGAGGTCTCTGGACTCTCACTTCTTCCCCTTTCCAAAAACTGTCTGCGCCTGGACCCCCTCCTCCACGATGAGCTACGGAACCTTTTTTTAGCATCCTGGAAATAACCTAGTTGATTTCCTAATTTTGAAAAGCAAGAGATTATCCCTCTTCGAGTTTGGAAAAATAAATCGACGTTAAGTTTGTGCCCTTTCTAATTTTATTTATTGTGGACTGTTCGAAAAGAGACACTTGCCAGGAGTAAAGGTCTCTCTCTCTCTTTCTCTCCCACCGCCCAATTCTGTTTCTGTACTATATTCATCGAAAGGGTTTGTTACTTGGAAAGGACATCTCTATTCCGGAGTCATTTCTCTGTCTTGTGAGGACCTGGCTTGCTGCGAGAAGTGTGGCTATGCAAATACTCACACGAATATTTACATATGAAAAGTTATACTTACTTGAATGTGTAAACAAAGATACCTCTTTAAATGCCTTTGGGGACATTTTCAAGTACTATAACTATTAAAAAAGACTTTCTGATGTTAAAGGTAACTTGTTCATGATCTTAGATCTAATATTCTCAGTAAAAATAAAAGAAATTGCAGAACATTAATATGAATATCTTCCACCCATTGGTAAGGCATCAAAACAAACAGCTGATAATTTGAAAATTCCATCAAAACAACCTGAAACACTTGAAAAAAGAGAACACAATTATAACTTGGTATATTAGTGTTTCCTGAATATGTTAAAATAGAAGGTAGATATAACTTTATTTTACACAATACTCAGATTAAAATGTTCACATTTGGTGAACTTAAGGAAGATGGAAATCATGCTTTTTAGAAATGTTGCTATGCCTTTTATTCTCTTGCATTCTGAAGTTCTTTCCTTCCAAGACATTTCATTTTTTACTTTTAGAGGAATTAAGATCTTTAAGTTCTCAGTACCAATAATTTTTAGGTATTAATGATCTATATCAATTACTTGCTTTTGTTTTGCTACACCACAAAAAAGACTCAGATACTCAAACTTTTCAAAGGTATATGAATTCAGAAACATGATTTCACATTGAGTCTTGAGTTATTATCTGTAACCACTTTAATTCTGATATTATCACAGGCAAATAATCATCAAATTTTAGCCCTTTATGAAAATCTGTTTCTATGATTATTTAGCAGAGTGACAAGTAATGGGATCAGCTAAATGGAAATGTTGCCCAAAGAGCTCTCAAACAGAGGTGCTAAATATGTATTAACAAATAGCTCCAAAATAACTACTCTTATAAGTCTAATAAGGGATCAGGAGACTCACTGGCTACTTTTTTGGCCTTTTAAGTATGTGACTTTTAGGTCTGAACTAATATTCCATCTACTGAGCTTGAGAGAAAGGTGACCACTTTAAACGTAATCAGGGAAGTCTCAAACACAACTCTTGTGTAATTCAAGCCAATAGATTTTCCTATGATCTCAGCTTGTGGGTTCACTGCATATTTTGGAACAGTGGTGTTGATATCAGATGGAGCTATGATAAATCTTTAGTTTTCGACTACAGATTCCCACTGGCTCAAGGGAAGTTTAATTTTTTAAAAAATCCAAGGTTTAAAAATAATATACTAGTAAATATGCTCACGAAGTTCTAATGATGCTATTTCATTAAAAAAAATTTGCTTCCAGAGACAGGACATTTCAAAATACAATTTTGGTAATAAAAACAAAACAAAAACAAAAAGAATTGAAGGTAAAACTCAGCTGACAGTCTGCAGACAGATATACAGGTTCCAATGAAATTCAGAACCCCAAAGGGTCCCTCAGCTCTTGACTTATTTAAGATAAACATGTAGTGTTGTAGTTAAGTTTTAAAACGGTCCCTTAGAACTGCTAGGTAAGGTACGAGTTATTTAAAAGAAATATATCTTGAAGGTGATTTTTCGCCATCTCGAATGTCTGCGGATAACTGCAGCTTGGCTATATAGCAGTTGTGGATGGAGTTGGTTCTCACAGTCGACCCAAACCAAGGCCAACAGTTTATTTACCTACTTGGCTTTGCTTATTGCAAATAAGGAAAAAATAATTTTCAGGCAAGGAAAAACAAGTAATGTAGTATGAGTTACAGAAAATGCTGAATCTCTTTAATTTCTATTGGTTTAATTTAAAAAAAAACACCTATAAATTTGATTTCTCTTTCAGAAGAAACCTCTCCCCGCCTCGGGCAGGTTTCCTCTATTCCTCTACCAACTAGTTACTTTAATCTGAGAAACTAATTTGCACCCAACCTGTGAGTGCCTTCACCTTCAGGGCAGAAGAAACAGCGACTTTTAATGCATTTTGCAAATAAATCATTACAATTTAATCACACGACTCTTTACAGACACACTTCCATGATTTATTGTTGTTGGGCGAGTTTCCCCCTCACCCAGCATGAGATAACCAATTTTGCTACGTGTGGGTTTCTTAAACATAACTTCCTACAATGAAGACTTTTTTTACTGATTATCCATGACGATAACGACGATCACTAAAGCGATAACACCCTCTAGTCCCATCTTCATTGCTTTTTGGTAACAAGAAATTCAAAAGAAACAAGCACGCAAAAAAGACGCCAAACAAAAAATTGGCGGCGTGACAATCTACCCCCTCGGCATTCCTCTGGCCTGGCGGCTTCCATCGATGCACTCTACAGCTCGGCTGGCACTGCCTGGCGCTGGAACCAGGAAGGCGCTGAGCTTAAACTGAAGCAAGTTCGGAGGACGCCAGCGGTGACCTGATCCGAAGAAGCGTTTCCAGGTCTGCGGCGCTTGCACGTCTATTGGAGGTGTGAACCCAAAGGTCAGGACCCAAGTGGTTGCCCACATCCACGCTGGAGGGACGGCGCCCGCGGCCGCGGAGTTCTGAGGCCCTGCTCCAGCGGAAGGCGGCGTGGGCCCGGCGCGGTCTGTGGCGGGGAGTCGGCCGAGGGGTGGGCTACGGACCCCGCCGTGCAGAGGCGGCCCCGTGCGCATGCGTCCCGCAGCTGGGAGGCTTCTGACTTGCTGGGTCCAGGCTGGGGGGCTGTGTGTTGGTGGGTGGCCACCGCAGGCCTCAGGCTTGGCCCTCTGGCTGGAGGTGGTGTTGGACAGTTAACCGACTCCTCGCCCCGCCCCCAACTGCCCCCAACTACATCGCTGCTTTGGGGTTTCCTGGCTCATCTTGCAATATAAGCCTGGCTATTTCTCACTAGCCCTAGGTAGGATGGAGCACGAGGGAGACTGCGTCCTGGTGCACTCGGTCCCACCCACACCTCTAGTTCAACCTGTGATGCACCGCCCCTTCTGACTCCGACCCTTCCCTGCTCACGTTCGCTTGGTGAAAGGGGAGACGGTGCCAGGTGAAATAGACCTTCCAGCCTTGAAATACAAATATGCTTGCTTTAAACACTGTCTGTTCCCTTGACTTCTGCTCTTGTGGCCAAGTGACCAAGGGCATAGGGTTCTGTTTATGATGTTGGCTGCTCTTGATTTTGGGTTAATCAGTTTTTTAAACTTTGTTAAAGTTTTTATTTCTTTTGTGTAGAGACAGGGTCTTTCTGTGTTACCCAGGCTGGTCTCTAACCTCCTGGCCTCAAGTGATCCTCCTACCTCGGCCTCTCGAAGTGCTGGGTACAGGCAGGTGCCACCGCGACCTGCGCAAATTGAGGTTAATCTTAACCTAATTTCTCTCTCAGAGGTTGTGTATCTTTAAATGTCCACTGTAAACCTTAAAACAATTATTATTTTTTCCATTTTCGGAATTAGCAGTAACCCAGTTGTGTTTCATCTAGTAGTAGATGAAACTACAGATGTCTTGTGTTGTCATCTTTAATGCAGAAAATTTAATGCATACGTAAATTTAGATGTAAAAGTTGTCATCTTTGAATTTAGATGTAAAAGTTCAGGAGTTGTCAGGTTTAAGGATTGGGGCAGATGTGACAGGTGTAATCTTTTGGGGAAACTGTATCCTCTGAGAGCCTCTCTAGACTCAGTCTGTAAATATTCACTTTCTTTGCAGGCAAGAGATTTATTGCTAAGCAATAGCACTTTATAACTCTATGTTTTTCAATAAGTGGACTAAAAAAGTTTGAAACTGGAAAAGACTAAGGCAGCTGGCACTTTTCTGTTAAGTGACCTTACGAACTCAATCAATCTCAGCAAACAGAGTTGTGAGTTGGAAAACTTCTGTTTTAGTATATCTCTAGATATATTGACATATTTTCTGCTTTAATTTTCAAGCCATTGGGGAGAAATTCTTATGATTGATAATGCTTTTTTAAAAAAGAGATACCTACACATTTTTAGTTGTGATAGAAATGTTTTGACAGAATTCTTCATCCTTTTTGTTATGCTTGAATTTTGCCTGTTTTTTTACTGCTATTTCTGTACTTGTTTGTGGATTTCTTCATATAATAAATAGTGTTCACCCCATTTTTACTTTTCTTTACCTTTTTGAGGTGGATTTCACATTGAAATGACTGTTCTTTTTACTTCTTTTGGCCATGTATCAAGAATCAAGAAGATTATAGTGAAGTAACGGTAAAGTGTCACATCCTCTGGAAACCTTTGTTCTCTCAAACTGATTGCCTGTTTCTGAAAAAGATAACTGCTTCTTGTACCCTTATTAATAACTGGACAAAGGAACTTCTTGTGTATGCCTTTGAGTTCTCTTTTCTTTTTTTTTTTTGAGTTGGAGTCTCACTCTGTCGCCCAGACTGGAGTGCAGTGGCACGCCTCCGAACACCGCAGCCTCGACCTCCTGGGTTCCGGCCATCCTTCCACCTCAGCCTTCCGAGTGGCCGGAACTATAGGTACGCGCTACCATGCCCGGCTAATTTTTTTGATTTATTGTAGAGATGAGGTCTTGCCAAGTTGCCCAGGCGGGTCTCGAACCCCAGGGCTCAGACAATTCACTCACCTCGGCCTCCCAAAACGCGGGATTACAGGCTGAGCCACCGAGCCTGGCTCTCTTTTCTTAAATTACCACATCTTGGCTTCACATCTTATACCAGCCACCTGAACTTTACAATAATATGTTCTTGTAAGTTGATGTTCGATGGTAGTCATTACCCGCGGTGGCTTAAATTCTGTAGTGTGTGTAGTTGGGTGAAGTGTGCAACCATGAGGCTTCAACCAGGAAGAACTAGAGTGGGAACAGAGAATCAAGAACTATAGGCCATCTGTCCTTCTGTTGTCCTGTCCACTTAGATAGATTGAAAATATTATTTTCTAGGACTCCTAGAAGTCTGTGCTCCGTTCATCATTAATTACCCTTGTCAGAGAGAGCTATGACTGTGTCTTTCCATGCATTGTAGCTTACCAGTGGAGTTAAGTATGAAGAGTTCCTCCTTACTAGGACTGTGTAATGTAAATTGAGCACCATGATTTGAATGAGCAAGTCTATTCAATTATGTGCTGATGACGTTATGGAGATTTAGGGCTAAGTATATATCTTTGATGATGAGTAGGACTTCAGCACCTCTCATTTATAGAGAAGACAGTTTTGAGATCTACCTCTGCTGTTAGCATTTGCTTCCTTTTCTGAATAAATATTTGAAGTAAACTGTAATGAAGAAATATGGGGACTTTTTGTTTTCTCTGAGATTATATGTCACCGTAATTTTTCTGAGGTGAAAATGTGTTACTTAAATACATTTTCGTGACAGTGGTTTTTCAGCTTTATTTTACTTGGTTTCTCTAAGGAAGAATTTTTGTAGCTTTCATTAATTTTCTGCATTAAATATACTCAATCAATCTTCTATTATGGATAAATTAGATTGTAATTAGAACAAAGAAACATTTATACTCACCTTCTCTTCTCTGTTTTTGGGTTACCAACAAGATACATGATAAGATGTATGTCCCTTCCTTTTTTCTAATTCATTATGCCTTACACAGAGACTTAATATATGCAGGATATAAATGGAGAATGGGAATGATTGTAAGTACCTTAGAGCAGTGATTCTCAAACTTTTTAGTCTTAGGATCACTACACTCTTAAACATTGTTGAAGACCTTAAGACCTTTTATTTATTTGGATAATATCTATAAATATTTACCTTATTTATAGTTAAAACAACATTTAAAATCTTTATGGATTCAATAAAATAATAAACCCATTAGATGGTAACATAAATAATATATTTGATATGAAAAATAGCTTTATTTTCCAAAACAAAACTCAGTGAGAAAAGGGGCTTATTTTTCATTTTTGCAAATCTCTAATGTCTGGGTTACTAGAAGACAATTGGATTCTCATATCTGCTTCACTGTTTCAATCTATTGAGATAAGTTGTTTTGATTGAAGTGTATGAAGAAAATCTGGCTTCACACAGATATATTGTTGGAAAAGATAGTGTTTTAATAGCCCTTTTGGATAATTACTTCTTTATTACTACACCAAGAGTTGGTAAGTGGTAATTTTTTTTTTTTTGAAAGCAGGATTTATTGAAAGGACAGAAAAGCTCCCAGAGCAGCAGGTAACCCAAGGAGGTTGCCTGATAAGTGGTAATCTTGAAGATTGGTTGATATGGTATTTGAAATCACATCAGTGACTTTTTCACATTTCATTACATTAAGATCTATTGGTCTGACTTGCACTGTGAATGAGTCTTTTATCCATGCATGATTTTGTGACATCATGCATTGACCAGTTGGAAAATACTGGCTCACTGAGTTAGGCATATTTTTCAAATGTTGACAACTTTTTTTTGAGTCAGGGTCTCACTCGACAGCTTCAACCTCCTGGGCTCAGGTGATCCTTCCACCTTAGTCTCCCAAGTAATTGGGACTACAGACATGTACCACCACATATCACTAATTTTTTTGATTTTTTTTTTTTTGTAGAGACAGGGTCTCACTATGTTGCCTAAGCTGATCTTGAACTCCTGGGCTCAAGCAGTCTGGCCTTAGCCTCCCAATTACTAGGATTACAGGCATGAACCACTCTGCCTAGCTGACAACTTTATGTATCAAAAATTCACATTTGTTAATATCATCAGTGATCTCAGAAGCTCTTAAGTACTGGGAGGCTGTCATTTTCATGGTGGCAGAAATAAATTATCCAAAATTCAAATCTTTGCCTGAGAGTTTGAATTTGTTCATTGACAACAAATATTGTCAGTTTTCTTTGAAGCAAAAGGGCTGTCTTCATTTTTAAGAAAAGGTCTGTCAAATACTTGTCTGCATAATCATAGTTTGTCAGTTCTTTAAAATAAAAATAGTGTTTCATAATAAAAATAGCCTGTTCAACTTGCAGTTCAGTTGCACAAATGATTTTTCTTGAGATAACCATGTTATTCTTCAATATATGGCAGAAATTATGTATACTTCCCATTTTATAACAGAATGTTAAAAAGATGTGTACTTAAGGGTTGAAATTTAATAGCATTAATTATTTTTCTGCTTTATTAAGGACTTCTTAATTGAAATTTGCCTTTTATATTTAAACTGTGACCGTATGGCCGTGAAGAACGCGAGACTATTAGTACAGTTTGATGCCTTAGCATTGATTTGTGCTAAGGTACCAGCAGTTTTGTTCACCATTACTTTTGTAACAGTGAAAAAAGTAAATAATGTTTTAGTATTATAATGAAAATAGTTCCGACTTCTTGGATCCTCTGAAAGGGTCATATGGACCCCAAGGGTCTACAGGCCTCATTTTGAGAATTATTGGTACACTAGAATGTAAGCTTCTTGAGGGCAAGAATTTTGTCTCCTTCACTGATGCCTCTTTTATATCTAGTTCTGCTGTCAGTCTGGGACATTATACCTTTCTTCCATGGTGGATCACTTATATTCTACTTATATTCCGAATCTGGGTTGTCTTTGTTT